CAAAATTGTAAGTTCTTCGTTTTGTCTTCATACTTGGAGTAGATGGGTTTGCCCACTACTATTTCATTTGACGTTTATATTGTATGACATTGTCATTGGTTTGACGTGTTGCTTGTATGTGTTTACATTTAGCATTGTGCGTGATGTACTTGATGAAGGGATCAGTCTCTCAAGATTTTTCAGATGGGGATCATGCCCCTTGTTAGACCTCTTGGGTCGTAAGTATGTTAGGACCGTGGCCACGTTTTAAATGTAGGACCCAATGAAGACAGATACAAAAGTTTATGAAATCAAGCTGGCCAGGCTATATAGATCATCATAACATCTCTATGTGTTCTCAGGGTTAACCTTGACTTGAGCTGATAATTGTGTAGTGAAAGAGAAATAACTCCGAGAGTAAGGAAAATAACTTCTTTTATTTATTGATTGAAAATGTGAATGTTAATAGCCTACTTGACGAGAATGGAAATAAACATGTAGGCAGCGGATCGCTCGAAATAACTAAACTTATACTAAGTAGATGATGTAGTTGTGTCGTTCAATTGATGTGGAGAGGAGAGGGGATGCATTTCCTTAGGGTGGGATAGCCCCCCAGTTTAGAATGATGCGATCACTAACTATGTTCTCGAGTCGAGAGGCTCCAAGTGTCATTGACATCGTTGGAAGTCCATGGACGTAGAAGATTATTGTCCATGAGATGTCAACGATTGTCTTCAATCATTTCGTCACTCAGTGTTGAAGTGATCTTCATCTCTTTTTCTCTTGGGAGGAGCGAGGGCTGAAGCTTCTTCGATGTGCACGTGTTTCCCAGTGCGGCTTAGTAACTCCTCCATAGTGGTTGGAGGTCTTCCTGCGATAGATTCATTGAATCCACATTGGTTCAAGTTTTGTTGAATGATTCCAGAGAGCATGCTTCCTCCACATAGGGGACTTCATGAGATGCCTCTACAAATCGTTAAATGTAGTTGCAGAGGGTTTCGCCCTCTCTTTGAGTGATAGTGAAGAGGTACGCGAGAGTCTTAGTGTATTCGTTGTTGAAAGCGAAATGGTCGGTGAAGCGATCTGTCAGTTAGGAGAGAACTCCAATTGACCCAGTAGGCAAGGTGTTTAACCAGCTCAATGCTCGTTTGGAGAGAATTACGCGGAACATCTTGGACATCGCTGCATCAGTTGGTCCATATAGATCTGGCATGGCGTAGAACTTTTCCAGGTGCTCTTGTGGGTCACTAGTTCCATCGAACTGCGGTAGACTCGAGACCTTTACCCGTTGGGGTAGTATCTCATTGAGTATTGCGACACTAAAGGGATTGCCCCTTATTAGAGGTATTGCCCTTCCACCAATAGGATTACATATGTGAGGAAGGTGGTTTGAGCGAGATACCTGACTGTTAATTTCATCCTCTCCACCATTGGATGTAGGAGCTCGTTGGCGAGAGGCGTTGCCTCTTGGAGGTGAACGTGGGTCTTGTAGCCCTGTTCGTACATGATGGCGATGAGTAGATTGTTGCATCCGAGACCTAAGGTCCGAGGTGGATACGTTATCCCGTGGCGGTGGAGGTCGTTGTGCCATAGGTGGAGCTGCAGGGGGAGCGTTAACTCCCGATGTGGCGATGTATTTTGCCACTGCTTCAGTGGCAGGACGAGCTGAAGCTTCCGCAATCATGTGTTGGAGGGTCTCTTCGGTTGTCTGAACCGTTCGAGGAGCGGGAAGTTGTGAATCCTGCGGGGATTTATCTGGACATCACGAGGTGGATCCTGATTACGAGGAGGAAGTGGCAAGCCAGAGCCTCCACGAGGTGGGAGGTTGTTAGCATTGTCACGTTCTCCCCGAATAGATGACTCAGACAGCGCCAATTATGATGTTGCTAATATTACATCACCTTAAGTAGTTGAGATAGAATGAGATGGGAGAGCAAAGCGGCACTGCTCACGTGCTATATGGTCCTGAGATACCTGCAACCAGAGAACACGTGAATTAAGCTAAGGGTTGATCCAGCGAAAACCCCTCTGACGCTCAAGTCAGACGTGCGGATAGTGAAGTAGTTGAGAGAATACGAATTTTAGTATTGCTCAGATAATAGGGGCGTACCTTTAATAAATTAATTAAATAGTTAATTATACCTTGTCGATTGGGTTGAGGTTAATTTGTTGGGCTCAAACCTTATTTGAAGGTGGTTGGACTTTCGTAATAATATTCTTCTAAATCGGGCTCGTGATCCAGTAGATAGAGAGATTGTAGACTTATTGGGCTGACCCAATTAGGAATATCACAACTAATACCAAGTTCACTAATATAAAATTGACTCATACCAGCAATTTCGATTAATGCTAGAGGGACTTGCCCTCAATAGAAACAATAGAAGGGGCAAACCTAATATGATGTTTGTTGGAGGTGTAGCTCGAGGTTTTAGGAATTATTATAATTGTGTACCTCTTCGAGGTCAAAGCAATACTGTTGACGATTTAGAGGGAAATAATAGATCTAAATTTGAAAAGGTAAAAATTAATATAAGCATTATTAACGAGGAAACTAACGAAATTGAAAACAGCAAATTAAAAACATCTCTTTGAAGGCCTAAACGACGTTGGGTTGCCGAATTTTGACTTGCATCTCAAGCTATGCTTAGAGAGTGTTGACATTACGCCGTTTGTCTTGAGATGGACTTTGTTTCGAACTCAAATACTAATATTATCCGAAACCCCCCTATTTTCCTTCGATATGTCCACATATTCTCATTAATAGTCATTCTTCTAATTAAATAGCCATTTTGAAATTCTAATCTGGTAAGATGTCCCGCACAACGAATGATGAAAATAAAGAAAAAAGAAGTAATGTTCTAACTAAAAAAAAGAAAGTAAAAAAGTACAAATATGAGCTTGAAGTTTCTAATACAGTTAAACTTCTATAAATTAATATAATTGGGACCATCAAAATTCTATTATATTTATGAAATATTAAATTATCGATAAATTAATAATTATTAATTTATACAGTAATTAATAATTAATTAATTTGTGAAATATTTTTTTTATTATTTTCAATAAATACATTTATTTTTTTACTTTTATTGAGGGTCTACTCTAGTTAAAAAAAATGAATTTGAAAATGACAAGAAAGGGGACTAATTTTGAAGTATTGCGGTGCAGCATAATGAATTGAATGTTTTTGTCAAAGAAAGTCATAATAACAGTGAATAATGACGAATAATTGTAAATCCACTAGTGGTTGCACACTCCAAAATTATTCCAAATGATGTCAATGGGCCGACCAGCTGAACCAAAGTGGGCCCACTTATAAAGGTGGGCCCCATTCCCCCCACACGTTCTTTTCCTCATTATACGCAAATTACACCCACCCGTTTCTACAGGCGTGTGTACATCCACCTAAAATCATAGCCGCTCCCCCCTAATGTGGGCCCCACTATTGTTTGACTCTTAACCTCCACATTTCATAATAATAAACAATGGCCTACTTCACCAAAAGGATTTATCTCCTCAAAATAGTAAGCCACAAGAATATTTTGAAGGCAGCCGCTCAAATAAATATCATTTTTTTCTGAGTTCAATACTATCTAACATAAAAAAAATTAAAAAAAATAATTGATAGGCAATGATATTATTACCTTAATAAAAATCAATACCACACACAAAAATTGTTTGGCATTGATTTATTTAAGGGTATTAATGCCATTACATATTTATTTTCTATTGTTTATGTAGGTGGTATTTAAGTGAGAAAAAAATTGTATTTGTTTTAGTCGTCCCCTATTTTGAATTGGGTATTTGGGTTCTTGTATTAATCGAAACTCACCATTTTGGTAATAAGTTGTGTGTAGATTTTATTATAATCCATGAGTCTAAGACACATTTATATCCTTAAGTTATTGGATTGAGTTTTGACATTTTTAGAGTTGAACCTATTTTCAAGGAAGAAGGGAAGGTAATCGGGTGGCACGTGAAACTATTTATTTGCCAAAATAAAGACTCTTGTATGATCTTCATGTACCGATTCAAGATCTTATCTCTTCTGAGTTGTTCTAATTGAATGAAAGTTTTACTCATCAGAAAAATGAAAGGGAGATTTAAGGAAGGTTTGTCACTCGTTTGGCTTGGGAAATTATCCATTGCAACTGTATAATTGGATTTTGTTTGATATTTGATAAACTCAATAATTTCCCGAGTCGACTAGAATATATATTATGTTATCATAGCTTATCTTCTCTTTTAAGAAGGTTTTTTGTTGGACATGGTCCAACAAAACAATTGAGTTTTCATTATATTATTTAATTTTATATTAGTTAATCCTATCTTGACAACAAACGAGACCTAAGCATATTGATTTGGGTTGCCTAGATCCATGCTCGTGTGAGCTTATTGACCCGAACCTTTGTTTGAAGGAATAATTTGGGCCTTTGCTTTGTGCACCTTATTTACTGGGCCTTAAGCCCATAAGCTCTCAGTATAAAATGGTTCTTCAATTAATATAATATAATTGATTGGAAATTGGATTAATATGAATTTAAATATTAATTTTCCAATCTATTTATTATATCCAAATATGTCAATCCCAATACAACGAATCAGTGATGATTGATGTATTATACATTGTTATATATCAACGTACACCAATTAGGTAATTTGTTGATGTTGAAATAGATGTTAGAATAATGGACACATCATACGTTAGCTATCATATTCAAGAATTGTTTAATATACCTAAGGAATATCAATGAGATCACAAATACAAAGTTTGGAATATATAAAATTAGATATTTCAAAAAGATATTTTATAACTCCATTTTCTTTTTTAGAAAATTAAGAATTCCGTAGCAAATTATATAAATGCACTGCGTAAACATACGCAAACCACACTACGCTAACAATATAGCGACCGGTAGCAATATGATTCGAACATAGGTCAATTGACACACTTACTTGCTACAACTGCTAGGTATCTTACCGGTTTTTTTTTTTTTTAATGCATTATAAATAAAAAAGATAATAACATAAGAATAAAATAAAGAAATTGAGGGGAAAATGGATTAATAAAGAAATTGAATGGTGGGGAGGAAAGGACAAATACAAGTGGAGAACCAAAACAGCACTACGAAAGCCATAAGAGAAAACGATTTGTGTATAAAATCACACACGCACAAACAACACACACTTGTAGTAAACTTAACTCCCCTAAAATAAAGTAAACTTAACTAATAGTTGAAAAAGAAGAACCTTTCTTTGACCAAAGACCAAACTCCAAACAAACAACTATCAAATATATTAATAAACAATAGTAAAAAGAAACAAAAGTATTAAAAAGAAGAAAAAAGCAAAATCCGTGACGTCACCTTTCATTTGACTATTCCCATTCTCTTTCTTAACACCTTTGTTTTCCCACTTTCATCAAACACCTCTCCTTCTCTCACTTCTTTCTCTCTCTCTCTAAAACTCAGTTTAACTCGTTTCGAAAAACAATGGTGCTGGACGATTTCTCGGTGACAGTTCCGAGTTATTTCCGATGCCCGATCTCTCTGGACCTGATGAAATCCCCCGTCAGCCTCTGCACCGGCGTCACCTACGATCGGAGCAGCATCCAGCGGTGGCTCGACGGCGGCAACAACACCTGCCCCGCCACCATGCAGGTGCTCCAAACCAGAGACCTCATACCCAACCACACGCTCCAACGACTCATCAAAATCTGGTCCGACTCGGCTCTGACTCGCTCCTCCGACTCGCCTCCTCCGCCGCGCGACTCGCTCACCTGCACCCAGGCCGCCGAGCTCACCCGCCACCTCGAGACCGATCTACAGAACGTTCAGAAGCATTCTCCGTTCCGCTCCTCCGTAATCACGCGGAACCTCGGCAGGCTCATTTCGTTCGCCGCGGAATCGGAGGAGAACGGTAGGTTTGCGGCGGCGGCGGCCGGCGGCCGGATTCTGCCATTGCTTGTGTCTCTTATTGGGAGGGTGAGAGAGTTGAGTTTTTTGGAGAAAATTGTAGTGATGTGCAACGTTTTGCTGAAGAATCGGACGAAAATCGATTCGGAAGGATTGAAATCGAGGATCGAAATTGGGAATTGTGATTTGAAGGCGTCGATAATTAATGGATTGAAACAAGGAAGGCTGGATCTAAGAATAGCATTGGTCAAATTTCTCGAGCTTATGGAAATTAATTATTCTTCTTCTTCTTCTTCGTCAATTTCAGAAGACGAAGAGATTTACAGCGAGCTGCTGAGATTAATTTCAACCTCAGATTGGAATCCAGACGCAATCGACGCATCCTTGAGTTTTCTGACTCGTTTGGCGCTAATTAGGCGGAACAGAGCCAAAATTGTTGCCGCCGGAGGGGTTAAGGTGCTGGCGGCGGCGCTGGCGGAGGCGGAGATGAGTGCGCGAACGACGGAGAAGGTGCTGAAGCTACTGGAGATGGCTTCCGGATGCAAGGAAGGGAGGAGCGAGATCTGCGCGAGCGAAGTGTGCGTGCGGGCGATAGTGAAGAAGTTGATGAAGGTGTCGACGGCGGCGACGGAGCACGCGGTGACGGTGCTGTGGAGCCTGTGCTGCCTGTTCGGCGACAAGAGGGCGGCGGCGGCGGTGGTGGATGGGAACGGGGTGGCGAAGGTGCTGCTGCTTCTGCAGAGCAATTGCTCGCCGGCGGTCAGGCAAATGTGCGCCGATCTGCTTAGGGTTTTCAGATGTAGCGGCTCAAAAAATTCTTGTGTTTCTTGCTATGATTCTAAAACCAGTCACATTATGCCATTTTGATTCATACATCGATACCATTAGCTTCTTTTTTTTTTTTTGTTTGTTAAATGTAAATGTAAAAGCAATTTTGTCGAGAAAAAAAATATAGTGAAGAAAAAAAAATATTGAATTTGTTTGATTATTATTATTATATTTTTGAATAAGATTAAATGATGGTTGATTTGGATGGTGATATGATGTTTGGTCAATTTGATGTACATTTATTCCCTAAGTAACATCAAGTGGTTTTTGATTGGATGGTGTTTGTTTCTCAATTGAGATTTCATGACAAGCAACAAATGATTTACAAGTTTGTTATTTGTTTTCCTCTCATAATTTCACATTTTCTAAGCAATTGAAATGGCATAAAATTACACATTAGTCCTTTTAGTTTCTATGGAAATTTTTTTACCAATTGCCGAGTACCTATACCAACCGAAGATTATCAAAAAATTACAAACTAGTGGTTACTATTTCATTTGGTACAATATTGGTACTGTTACGCGATGCCATAAAACTAATGTATAGTGTTTAGCTCAATAAATGTTTGAACACATTCAACTAATATAAAGTTACATATATTACGAAATTTATTGGTGGGTAAAACTGACGAGATTTTTATCAAATTTTAGTTTAATATAAGATAATGGTTAAATATTATGTACCACGGTATCATATCGAAGTAACTGTATACCAAATGTTTCGGTACCGCAATAGTATGACATTTCTCAATATCTTAAGTTTACGGTTCGTAAACCCTAATGGTCAAAAACTTCGATATCCTATTCAATACCACCGCTAACTTAAGAGAGTCAAACGCTATATTGTATACATATAATATTTCAGCATAAAGTTAAGTTAAATTTATGGAAAGTAGTCTTTTCTTTTTTCCTTTTTTAATATTTTGACTCTATGTGTAATTTGTTGGTTTCAAGTAATGTATATGTGGAAGCTACATTAGTCTTTATTTTTCAATAAAAAATTAAATCATGTTACAAATAAGAAAAGATGGAAACGGCTTAATTTGAAATTTGAATCAGAATCAAGTTCAATGTTTGAGTTATAAAAGAGGGTTGGTGTTCTTGAATTATATGTGTAATAGACCATAGGCATCTCTGTCAATCAATTCTTTAAGAAAAAAAATATATTTTTAATCAGTCTGTTCACTAATTAATTATTAACTAATTAAAAGAGTGTTGACAAATGTATTTGAAATTAAATCATGTCTCACAAATAAACTAATAAATGAATGGGGCCAACAAGACAGCCAGAAATTCAGAGCCCAGAATAAAAAAGAAAGTAATAAAGAAATAGAAGAACAATAATAATAGTTTGACTGAAATGAAAATGGACAAGGTGCTGCAATAGTTGAAACACCAGACTTTAATTTGGTCAGTCACACTCCAACACCAGACCCCATTCTTCATTTTTCAATTCATTTTTGTTTCTTCACAATTTACAGGTAAGAAATACAGCCCCCACTAACTAAATATAGCCTTCATTTTATTATATTCGATTTAAAGCAAGCAATCAAATTTAAAGAAATTAAATAAGGGTAATTCCTTTATACACCCCTCAAATTTATTTTCCTAATAAATAAGAGTACTTCTATTATTTTTTTTTTTTATTAATCCTCTAATATTTTATAGGACGAATTCCAGCAATTGAGCACCGATCAGAGAATCGGCGGACAAGCCAATGCCGGCGATTGAAGAAACCTACATCAAAGAATTAGGGTTGCAGCTGGAGATGTTAGTTCAATAAGAGTGGGATGGAAGTTGCAGGGGAAAGGTGTTTTTTTTGTTTCTTGAGCTGTATGAAATGATGCATCGAAATGCCTCTAGCATTTTTGCAACTTTGGATCCAATATTTCCCAGCCCGATTTTCCGCACTTGTACACCGAATTTCAATATAAATATGGCAACACCTTACAATTTCATGTCAACGTCAAATTAATCGATATACTAACGTAAATGCTAAGTTTAAGGTCTAACATAAATTAGAAATTTCACATAGTTCATATTATATACAAGGGTCATTACAAATAAGCCCATTAATGGGTACTTATTCATAAAGAGATCAAGACAAAAAACTCTTTTACCAATAAGTGTACACATGGTCCAGATTTTTGTAAAGGACTAAAATAACCCCTCATATTTTATTGTCATCGACAGTAATATAATTACGTTGACTTGTCAACAAATCAAACAAAATAAAAAAAAACAACAAAAAATAAAAAAATAATAATATTACATTAATTTACTGTCAACGGCAGTACAATTATGTTAATTAACTGTCATTGACGGTATAATTACGTTAATTTACTGTCAGTGACAGCACAATTACGGTCAACGTTTAGCGGCGGACGTAAAAAAAAAACTCAAAAAAACACTAAAAAAAAGTCAACGCCGGAGACCGCCGGAAACCGGCGAAAAAATCCGAAAGAAAAAAAAATAAAAAAAAATTGAAAAGTCAACACCGGAATCCGGCGGTAAAAAAAACTTTTGAAAAAAAAAAGTTTTGGGTCAAAATTGAATAATTTGTGAAATTTGGGGTCAAATTGAGATTAAATTAAGTTAAGGATGAAATTGGAGCATATTAAAGTATGCTCTAATTTTGAAAAGTCAATGTCGGAGACCGACGTTGACCGCCGGAATCCGGCGGCAAAAAAATATTTTTTGAAAAAAAAAGTTTTTGAAAAAAAAGAGTCAAAATTGAATTTTTGTAGTCAAAATTGGATTTTTTTGGAAAAAAATTATTAAATTGGGATTACAATTAAGAATTGGGTATGAATGGTTGATGGTAATATTGGCATATACATGAATGTTTCCTTTATTTATAATAAATATTAAAGGGACGGGCTTATTGGTGAAAGAGATATAGCGCCTATACGTAGAATAATAAAGATGCTTGGTTGGGACTTATGCACAAAAACCCATTTTATATATATATATATTAGATAATTCTAAAAATGTAAAATATTATTCTTATCATAATTTACAAATTAATAATAACATAAATAATTTATAACATTAATCTACAAACAAATAATAATAATAATAATAATAATAATAATAATAATAATAATAATAATAATAATAATAATAATAATAATAATAATAATAATAATAATAATAATAATAATAATATATTCATATACTTTACTCAATTGTAATACAATATGATATGATTGTACTATATTGTATCTTTGAATTTCCAGGAATATTTTCTATGATTCATCGTGAAATTACATGTCTACTTTTAAATTTGCATATATAAAATGCTTAGAATTTTAAAAAATATACTTAACCTACATTTAAAAAGTTAAACTACATATATAGTTATAAAATCTGAGTTTGATAAATAATCCATACTAGTAGTAGTAGAGTTGTAAAAAATATTATACAATTTGTGCATGCATTACAAAAAGTAATCATAATATTGTTAGATAAGGTTATAGTTCATGTATCCAATAATGTTAGTTTTGAATTCTTCATTGTTCGATGTAATTTTTTATTTTTTAAACTTTTAAAGTCATTTATAAAAAAAAAATTGTCGATGTAATTTTTTTTATATTACTACTAATATTATTATTTTTATTTATTTTTTAATGATTTCATATGTCTATGAACTCTGTTAAATTTATATCCAAATTCCTATTTAGAATTTGTGATGATTTTTATCTTGTATTTTTTTAATTGACTTATTTTATTTTAAATTATTATTTTATTTTATTGTGAATTGATTAATAATATAGTAAACTATAAGTTGAAATAAAATTAATAATAATAATAACAAAGTACTTCACCTTGGTCACACCATTTCACATGAATGTATAAGTAATGATTGGTTTTTATTGTTTATTGTGCGAATATGTATAATCATTGAGTTTATATTTTAGTCTGAAGGTAACCTTAGGAGGGAAATATGTTGGAGGACAATTAAAGGAGCCAAAGTTAACAAGAGCATAAATGGTATAAACTATAAATAATAATAAAAAAATTAATTTGGAAATTAGTATTGTCCTCCATATATATAAATTATAACTATTTTTATAATAGGGTTCAAAGTTCGATGGATTAGATTGGAAACATGTTTTTGAAAAATTTGAAGGATCTTATTCCAATTTTTAAATTTTCGGAATTCAGAAATTTGTTCTAATTACATTTTTTATTTCCGTTCCTTAATTAAAGATAAACCAAAAGAATTCATCCATCTAATTGGGTGTCTATTTTGTGGCAAGTCATCAACTTTGGGGAGAAATTAAGTCACAATTACTCATTTTTAGAATTAAGAAAAAAAATCTTATTCTTATTAATGAATTTATATTTAAAATTAAAAAAAAAATTGTAATCTAAAAAATTTCATTCTCTTCATTAATATTTACCGAACTAAAATCAGCTAGATTGGATGACGTTTAACAAAGTTATTCATAAATAAGTCATATTTTAAATTTTAGATAATTCAAAACATCAAACTTAATTACGGGCAATGTTCATTTGGTTAATGTATATCTTTCTCATCCGACATTGAATTTCGATGATCCAAATTGGATTAGAAAGCTAACTAAAAACCCTACAAATTCAATGTTTTGGAGTTTTGCAAAATTTAGAGTAAAAAAAATGATCAAAAACCGCATTTGCATTTGAAGTTGACACTTAAAACTGAAAAATTCAAGTAATTAAAACATGACTTAAAAATACTAAATTTGCATATCAAAATCAAACTAAATTTAAATCGGTTGCAAGAATTGGCTTTGGATTAACATCATGCAGAGATGGCTGTCTGAAAAAGCTCGTAGTTGTTTTTGTTGTTGATGTTGTTGTTCTTCTCTTCCCCCATTAAACAGTGCCCTAGAATTCTCAGAACCGGCTGAAGAAGCTCCCATGGCATATTTATTCTCCCTCAGACGGAGGAGGTCGGAATCTTGAGGAGGGTTGTTTTCGTTTAGGGTTTGGAACCGATGATTGGGATTCGGCAGATTTTGGTGTAATAGAGCTCGAGTGCGACTCCGACGATTCTTGGGCGGCGCGTGGATCGGACGGTGCCGTGGGGTTCGAGGGTTGGGGAGATGACGGCGAGGTGGAGCTCGGTGGAGCCGTTCTTGGCCGCCGTCTGTTTGGTTTCGTGGCTCTAGATGGCGAGGAGGACGGATTCGAAGCCGGCGAGGGGCTTGTTCAGGGCGGCGCGTGT